CATGGGCAAGCTTGTTCCATCCATACACGATAGAGTACGATAAAAGGAAAAACCGCACTGCAGAAACTCAGTTGAACGTGGAACGCCTTCCTCTCCAGTTGGCAACTCTCCTGCGACTCGCATGTCTCAGAACGATGGCGCTTCTCCTCCATTCAAATTGCCATCTCTGAACTACCAAACATTACGGTTGAGACTATGCATTGTCCTTGATATGTTGCAGTTTCCATGGTGATCTTCTCTTGCCATGGAGATCATGCCTGCAATTTTCATTGCGTGTCATTGCAACTCAGCACTCGGATTTCAACAAAGTACAGTACACTACTAAAACCAATCTAAAACCTGCAATACAGTACAATTTCTCTACCGTGCGCTTTTTGGATGTGACTTGCGCCATCTACACACAACTAGGGCACAGTAGAAAGGTTGAAAGGTTAGGAAATGCTGATCTGAGTTCGGCACAGCTGCACAGAGAGAAGGGTGCTCAAAATGACCGCAGCTGCATTTGGAACGTGCATGGAATTCCCCAGAGCGCCGTGCGGGTTGCTCAACTCCTCCCATTGCAGCCGTTGACAACCGTAGCTGTTGCAAGTTGACTGCAGTATCGGAAAGCCCAGCAGCGCTGCTTTCTCAGCAGCTGCAAGCCACCTGGGAACCAGCTGTGGAAAAATCTGACGCCAACAGTACAGTAGAACAACACACTGGCACAATGCAAGGCCATAAAGAATATACAGTTCAGCAACCTATACACTATATACAGTACATTCCCTTACAATATGCAGTACAGTGCAGTACAATATACCATATCTTTTGCCATCCTTTGCCAAGAGCCACAAGTGGTGGAAATCCCAGACAGACAAGTCTTCATCACCCAACCGCCAGCAACATTTTCCAAAAGCTTCTGGATGGCTGAAGCTTTCAAGTTGCATAGCCCTGCTGTACAATATCATATCATGTCATTTGATGTTTGCACGAATTAGGCGCTTAAAGTTCAAGCACACTGCTGTACGTGAAATATTGTACTATGCCGCACTGTGGCTGAATACAAAAGCACTTCAAGCAACCTCTGGGCCTTCATGTGGTCGGCGCCGTCTACGCATTGGTCGAGAACTCTCACCACTGGGGCTTCCTACATGCTCCCGCTCCAACCCTGGCGGAGTTACATCAATCATTTCCCATTCTCCCCCATCTGGGGCAGAAGATGACAAAGAGATTGCAGGGGGGAAGTGCAAGGCTGGCAAAGGCATTGGTGATGCCAATGATGCGGTCGAAATCTTGCTCACAGGCAGCTTCCTCAGAGACTTCCTCTTTCTTGGACTGACCTCTCCAAACACGAGGGAAAGCAGCCATTCCCAACAGCAAAGCGCACTGATTGCCGCTGCCGAAGCCAACATGCAAAAAGCGAACAGAAGACAAAGCGCCGACTTCGACATGGAAAGACACGCAAGGAATCACGGGAGCGTATTGACTGTACAGTAAGTACTATACTCTAATCAGCCACATAGCACAAAACAGCTGCAGCACATACAAGTAGATGGCGCAACTCTTCCAGCGACCCAAAACCAATTGCTATACAATATACTGTAGTACAGTACACAGAAAGGAACACAATACTTCACGCAGCATTGGAATATAGCACAGTACATGAGACAGTTTAGGGCCAAGTTGCCTGTAGTGCATGGGAGACCACAGCTTAATGCTTGTTTTCGTGAAGCAGGGCAGGATACCATCAGGATGTGAAGCCTTGAAGGAGCAATCTGTGAAATGGCGTGTTCACTCATCGGTCATGTCACATAAAGTGCAAGTACATTACAGCACACACAATAACTGCAGCGGAAGAAAAATGACCACTGCTGACTTGCGAGCCAAAGAACTTGCCAAACCACGTCTGGGTTCTGGTTCAATTGGTAGGCGCGATGTTCCTTGTGGCCATACTTCTTGATGTAAAGCTCCTCATACTTCATAAGGTTCTGCTGTTCCCATTTGGTCAAGGTGTCGTGACTTAGCTTTCAGCAAGATGAAGTCAAAGTGCTACTGCATAGCACAGAGAAATCTTGAACATATCATGCACAGTGTGCAACATACAGTGTTACAGTAGTTGTCAATACAGTAACATGGCACAGAATATCGCACAAAACCGTAGTTGCGCCAAAAACTTTCGTACTACTCACCTATCTGCAATACCTGCAGCCAAGGAGCAAAGAATCATCCTTTTTACACCTCTTCTTGACCAACTTCTTCTCCGTAAGCAGCTCTTTCGGATCCGTCATCCAGAATGCTTGGCTGATATCTACCTGTAAACACGTCAACGATTCCACCAGCTGCGCATACATGTCGGCCGGCTCTTCCACGAACTGGCCCCAGTCTTTGTGCACGGCAAGATGCCATTGTCGCTTACGCGAACAGCATTTGAACCCTGTGTCCTGAAGAAGCCATGGCCGTATCCCCACCAGCACATATACAGTACTTGCAGTAGGTGGCATTGGGAAATTACAGCAATGAGCAGACTCTGAGTCTGACCAGAAAACCATAAGACAAAGTAGATGGCGCAACTCCAAGGAAGATTGTCAATACAATGGCAAGTCACATCGAACGAGCGTAGCACTGTGTTTACACTATTCTTCTTGGAACATTGCTTTACTGAAATAGTTTCCCATACTGTACAGTGCAACTCAGCACAATAATTACAATACAATAATCCAAATCTTGCATTATAGTACCAGATTTCTCCAAGTAACGCTGGGCACTGTGAGAATCTTTCTCACATGCCAGTCTTCCTCGTGGACAGCTTCAGTGAGACTCCCAATTTCACCTGTTTGCACGTTCTCGAGGATCCTGATTTTAGACTGCGTCCCATGAAAGTAAGCCAGCCTTAGCTGTTCATCTGAGGTGGACACGGCCAAAGGCCGCTTTCAGCACCATACAATACAGTAATCGAAGCAACCTAGACTGAGACAGATGGCAAACAAGAACAGTAAGCTAGGTAAAAAGACAATCCCTCAAATTGCATCAAAAGCACTGAGCCGCAGAGGAGGGATCATTGCCGCCCTTCAAATTCCCCATTGTTGAAGATCCGACGCAAGGTGTCCCAGACAAGTCTATGTCCACGTTCTCAGGAAATGGGCACTCTTTCTCGCATTTGGAACACCTGCCAATGCGTAAAACATCGGCACACCGATGAAAGCATGCGAGGACAGCTCAGCAGTCTCACCAACCCCACCTCCCTCTTGACCGGTAACTGACTTCTTTGGCAAGCTTGGAACGCTCTGCAAATGATTTTGAAGCAGTGGCTTCAGCAGAGAAGATTGGAGCCATGCTGTCTTGGGGCACACCTGATACATCAGTGAAATAGTAGATGGCGCAAGTGCAAAGATATTGTTTTTTTGCTTCGTGCGCCTGCATGGTGGATGCGGAAAAAAATCATGCACAGAGTACTGCGACCCATGATTGCCAAGCCACGACTCAGTATGTCAGTGAAGTGGTGCTTGTGGTGCTTGAGCAAACCCATAGAATGTAGCGCTGTATGGGTAGTGTCGCTCAACACATCGCAGGAAGACACAAATTTCAGCTGCGGGAACCAGTCGCTGCCTGCGCTCTCAAGTGCCTGAAACCAAGTACCGTACATAGATGCGACGAGCAGTACAATATACTGTATATCTTCTGACAAAGGTAGATGGCGCAACTACCCATGATGAATCATCTTTGCCCCGAATGTGTATTCATCTGTCAACCATTGCTGAAGATGCGAAATTCTTGCACGAAAAATGAAATACAGTACAGTACTGTACAGTATGTGAACAGATTGAAGCCTGTGCAGCCAAGAATCTCTAGCTGCAACCTCTGGAGCTCCCAAACCAGTGAAATGCGTAGTGCATCTGAGGGTCCGCTTCGTTGGATCCTTAGATACGTTAGTGTCACGCGCTGTGCCTGGTATTGTACTCTGAACATGTAGCAGCCAATTGGGGTGCAAATTGCAACCACTGGTACTGTACAATACAACACTTCTGGATTGCAAGGAGAACAAATTATACTTCTGCCGAGCAGCATTTAACATGCACACGGTGTCCCTGGCATCTGCTAGCATCATTGCTTTTTTCACGAGTAAGCCTGGCCATGCTGCCAGAGCCTTACCCAAATCGGTGACCACGTCATCGGCCATGGCGCAAGAGAAAATGGAGTTGAAAGTGTACTATAATTAATGGGACGGAAAACCCAGAACTGTGCTTGCAGCAATTGCGGTATTCGTTTACAGAATACAAGACAAAAAGGATGGAAAATGGACAGAAATATTGTAGAAAATTTTGTCCGCGGCACCAAACAATACAGTATATTGCCTAGGTAAACATACTCTTTGTATATTGTACAGTAAGTTTCTGTGCGCACCTCGACTGTTTCCATCCGGCTTGAGGAAAGCAAGCACCGGATCGCGATTGTTCAACCCACCCGCGGCGAGATGGATCAAGATGGCCCAAGTGGTGTCTATTTTGCGATATAGCATCAAAATGTGCAATACGAAACAACGAGTACTGTACTACTTCTTTAATCTTCTTCATATACAGTACTTACTGTATATCAAAATGCTCCAAGTCCCTCGACTCTGCAGGGCTGAGTTGCGCCATCTACTATATATTGCGCATTAAATTTTATAATATGTCCATGAATTTTGACTGCTCACCATTTCAACCCCACTTCATTCCCCAATAAATCGTTGTTTTGATTGTTCTATAGAAGTTACAATAACTCAACAACAACGAATCAAACATCAACTTCAGACCGAATATTCTCTGAAAAGGCTTGTGTGTTTTTTTCTTTGGTTTCTTGAGGTTTTTGTCGCAAAGCGTATCCACATCAAACTAGCTCTGAGGTGAAAGTACCAGGCGCCGATTGCAGTAGTTGCGCCGTACATAGTGCAACTCGCTTTAATATTGCGTGCGCACTTGATCCATACTGAGCCATCTTTTTCCCAGGCAAAACCGCGAATACATATTTAGTATTCGGCGAACATGGCTGAATCTGTGGAGTTTTCGCGACCGGGTACCTGCAATTTGGTTATGCTTATCCTTATTGCCAAAGCTGGCGCAGCTCCAAGCATCACACAGGCGGTTCTTGTGGCCCAGTTGCGCCATCTACTGTGCATTCGATCTGGTGGAACATGCGCATGATTTTTGTGGGAGAGAACGCTCACATGAATACACCAGTGACATGTGAGTTGCGCCATCTATCTGGCTGCAATATGGGGAGGTTCCCCGTGTGCTTCTGGAGTTGCGCCATCTATGGCAGTGGCAAGCATAACCAAACTGCACACACCCCGGTCGCGAAAACTCCACAGATTCAGCCATGTTCGCCGAATACTAAATATGTATTCGCGGTTTTGCGTGGGAAAAAGATGGCTCAGTATGGATCAAGTGCGCACGCTATATTAATGCGAGTTGCGCCATGTATGTTGGGCCCCCGGGGGGCAAAAGTACATGGCGCAACTAGTGTATTCGGCGCCTGGTACTTTCACCCCGGAGTATATACACACACATATCCATGTCCTTTGGCCATTCCAATTCTGTTAGTTGTACCTGCATGTTGATTGACATTCATATCCCATTCGTGTGGCTCAAATCCCCTAACTATCCCATATTGATTGCCTGAATTGCAATACGTTTTCTTGGTTAAATTCGTGTATTCTCCTATTTCAATCTGGGTTTGATCCTCATGTTTAGTTCATTGAACTGGTTTCCACTGCCCCCTTAGATCCTTGAGAAATCTGCCTGTAGGACTTGGTGGGGCTTTGCAGAAGGAGTGCCGCAGGCCTTCCGATCATCCTCCTGCGTCCATGTTTTTTACGTGAATTCCACCCATGAAACCCCTTCGCTTTTTTGATTTGTGTGTTTGGGATTTGTTGATTTAGTTGATTTGGTTTGTTTGTTTGGATTTTTGTTTGTTGAATTTAGAGGTGCAAACAGATGCAGGTCTTCTTTGGTATGTGTACTGCAGTCCCTTTCTTGGGATTCACAGAATTGGTTCAGCCACCTCCACGTAGGTTCTGAAGACCGTACGAGTCAAAGGTCCGGAAACTCTGGGTTTCTTCTGTCTTGAGCAGGGCATAAGTTCTGAAAGTTCTATTGATTTTACCCTTTAAGGTAATCAAACATGGCAAGGGGACATTTTCTTGAAACGGAGGTTTCAATGGGAAATCATCGTTTTTTTTTCCATTGCCATGTTACCAGAGGGTGTCCCAGAGATTGCGTACAGTAGGTACAGTAAATTTTAGCGCAACACCTTTGTTTTAATATGTTTTAATGGTATATGAAAGCCATGCCGGCCATGATTTTCCCACCAATCCATTGATTGCAGGGGAACTTTGGCTGCCTCAGCCTGGGCTGTTAGCCAGAAAGGTTCGCCATGTAGCTGTTCAAGATTCTTACTTGTTGTGTAAGGGAAAGGGGAGAAGGAAGGAAATCTTGGTGAACCTCATATCATGATTATCATGTCTCCCAGCCTGGGATTTCAGTTCAAGAGATTATGGTGGTACGTTCACCGCTTGGTGGTTCAAACCAGTTGAATTTCTATATATTATGTGTATACATAATTGTATAATATTATATAATAATATGATATATATATATACAATGTAGTTCTATCTGTAGTTACTAGTTGATCCCTTTCTAAATTAAATGATATCACTGATAGAGTTAACCGGCATTTCTGATGCTTCTGGGATTGTCACATGGAAATAATTATGGAAACTAAGATTCAGTCAGCAGTCGCCAGTTCTTTCAAATGTAGCCCTCAAACACGTTGGCATGACACCAATCAGAACAACGGAACCAAAAGTTAAGTGCAAACAAAGACGTCACGCTGTTTTGGTTAATGGTTTTATTCATACATTTTATGTATTTTATTTTCAACCACAAAAAATGTAGAAATGGGGTCTCAATTGAGATGACCTTTCAACCACCGAACTGAGGTTTGGTCCCCTTGACCGGCCCAGAGCGCAAGCAAGCTCCGCGGCCTTTGCCTCCCTTGCCTCCCTTGCCGGTCGCACCAAAAGAGGAGCGATCAGTTGGTTGAGGGTCCCAGATTAGATTGGATCATTTACTGGTTGGTGGTTTGGAACATGGCTTTTATTTTTCCATATATTTGGGAGCAATAATCCCAACTGACTTTCATATTCAGAGGGGTTGAAACCACCAACCAGTTTATGTTTGAAGGCTCCATATTTCAGTGAAAAAATCATGTGATCAAACTTTGATCAAACATTTAGATTGTACAAATGCCGTTTCTGTCCATTGATTTATTTTTTTGGGAAATGATAAAACACTTTTTGGTGAGAGGTTCACTTCCTGAAAGGGTGATGTATTTGTACAGAAACACATATCAAGAAACCCTTAGATTGATCAAGGGCTAAGATCATAGCCAGCAAACATCCGAATATATCAGCAAAATAGCACCATTCATCCCCAATTACACCCAGTTTGTAAGCTGTTCTCTACCCCCTTCCACCACGCCAGAAGGACATCTCGGCCCAGTCCACATACAACAACGACGTGAGCTTTGAGGTGAGTGGTGAAAGTTTGTTGGCAAGATACCTAGACAGGCTGATATTCACGCCAACTAACCTTTGTGCGTTGTGTTGCAATGTATTCACATTGCAAGAAGCTTTGCTGTTCTTCGAATGCTCAACAAAATCAAAATCGCCCCCCCCCCCCGCACAAAGAGAAACTCCATAGCATGATCCATTTTATAGCCATACCAAAGAACCAGTTCCATAAAATGGAAGTATATATATGTATCATATCATACTATATCACAGCCAGTCACCGCCTAATTATATATCCATTATGATATCCATTATCTTGGAGATGATATATGATGATATAGCATCCATAGCATGATATACAGTCTGGCAACTTGTTACATAATGTTACATAGCTATAGAACATGGCCCATTTATAGATTTACCTATGTTTTCATAGTGATTTTCAATAGCTATGTGAGTTTACCAGAGGGTATCCATAGCCAACGGTGCCCGGATAGCCAGGTCCTACGTGCCGGAGCCCGCGGTGCTGGAAGCAGCATCCAGAGCCAGGGTCAGCGGTTCTCCACCGAGGTGCAAGGCGCCCATTTTCCCAACATCAAGGGGAGCACTATTGGATAACAGGAAGGGGCCCCAGAGTTAGCTGATTATAGCTGGTTTACAACATTTTACATCTATAATGAGAAGGATTTATGATGGATAGTTCTATACTTAGATGATTTAGATGGGTTATCAAGCAACTTAGAACTAGGGGGCCCTTCCGGCAAGTGGAGGTAGAATACCCAGCTTGCAATGTTTGATTACCATTAATATTACCATGAGGGTAGAACCCTGAAGATTCACCTGAATATGGACAATCTCATGGTTTTTTGGCTGTATCGGCTGGGGGGGTTCACATGGAGCGTGAATTTTCTGGAAGTGGGGGGCTGTCTTTATTGTAAAAAAATACCTTTTTGGTCATTGGTGTGGATCCCGAAGTCGAAAATCTTGAAACATCACCTGAGAATCCACGATTGCGATTGACAGTAGCCTTGCCTTTCTTGTTGGAATGATGGATTCTGGCTTCTTTACTGTGGATTTCTTGCCGAAAGGGACATGTTCCATCGGCCATCCGCAGGAGGAAAAGTGAGAGCTGTGAAGGCGCTTCCAAGTCGGTGACTCAGTGAGAGCAGTGAGAGCTGTGAGAGCTGAATATTTGACACATGTTCCCCGTGTATTTGGATGTTGGGAGCAACTCTGTACATGGGAATGTCAAAGAACCGGGCACGTTCCAATTCCCAATGGATTATTACTGGTATCTGATATTGTGACAGTGATCATATGGTATTACGTTATATTCCAACATACACAATGATATTATTGGAATCTATTCCAATCCAATTCCAGCGACCATATTCAATCATGAACATAATTTCATGTTCTGTCTATCAGAGTCTATCATATTCTGTATATCATTGTCCATCCTAAAATCGGTTTATTTCACCCAGGGAGTGGGCTTGCAGATATGTTGGCCAGACCTCTGCTGTGGTAAACCATGGTAAAACCACTAATGAACCATGCCAGTAGCCATTTTGAGAGTCGTTTTATATCATCCCAAATAACAAACCTCAATTGGGGATAGCGCCTCTATAATATTATATACAGTAACTTTATATATACGTATATATAATTATATAAATACATACGTTTAGTGTCTGATAAACATCCCACATGTTTGCATCATTTGCAATGAATTATCCCATGACGAAGCCAATTTTTAACATGTGTCTTGTTCCCCATCCGAAATCAGCCGAAATCTCAGACAGGTTCCTGTCACATCTTCCGGCTGCGGTGTGGTTTTTACCAAGTTGTGGTCCAGAGAAGCTATTGGGGGTGATGTTCTTTCTCACGAAAGATTCATTGTATCAAGATTCACTATCTAGTTGACATCTGACATATAGGTATATTAATGATATATGATGATATATGTATTAAAGGATCAGAACTATATTTATCCAAGCAACCAGGACCAAACAAAAGAGCCTTTTTGCTTTCAGATTCATGGAATGCCATGGGGCCATTGGTGTGAACTTTTTTGCGGTCTCTCTGTTGCACTCCTGAGGCCTGAAATTTCGGCTGGGCAGCCCGGCAGGAGTTTGATTTGAATGGCCAGGGCTGGTTGGCTGGTCGGCTGACCATGTGCAAGTTCCAATCGTTTTATAGTTATTTATATTTGATTTAATGTTATTTATGTATTTATGTTATATATATATAATTATATATATAATTATATATAATATAATGTTATACATCCCTATGGCCTATGGATCCAAACACTTCCTGGGAGTCGAAGTTGACCGGCTGACTTGCCTGCACTGTAGCGTCCTGCAGATGCTGTGCCAGCATCGAGGTTTTAACACCTCAGGTATTACCCTCTAGCAATGACTAATATAGCTACTGAAAATGGCCATTTATAGTTGATTTTACCCATTAAACATGGTGATTTTCAATAGTTAGGTTAGTTTACCAGAGGGTATGTGGGCTCTTTAGACAAAAAAACAACTGGTACCCTGATAAAGCCCAAAAGAGCTGGGATTTGTGGATAGGAAAGTCCTATTCTCTAATAGGTAAGAGATGGAAAAAAAACGCAGCGACACTTACGTTCAGCTCGAAAAAATTGTGCCACGGGATGTTGGCTTGGAAAAGGTTTTAGCAACATGCAGATTTCCCGGAAAAAAAAAAACAAAAAACATGCAGATTTCCCGGAAAAAAAGCAGTGTTATACAGTGTTGCCGCAATACAGGATAGTATATGATAATGTATATAATATATAACAACATATGGTTTACCTAAATAAAGCAAAATGACCCGAAGCCATCGTTTGCATGATCCATCTATTCAAGAACCAATTACATTGAAACCCTCAAACTGAAGCTAGTGCTGGCGACGACGTGACGTAGTGAAGCGATAGCGAAGTGCTGTAGCGGACCTAGCGGACCTAGCGTCAGGCGATGTCAGGCGAAAAAGCTGATTTGGGGTTGTTGGTTTCATGTTGGTTTCATATCGATGTTAAACATTCTTCGTGTGTATCTGAGTGTCTGAGTGTTGCATCCGCAAGGCCCAGAATCCCAATTGGTTACCCAATGGATCACCGAGGAAGACCCATCTCCATTGGGGGTTTCCCAGTGCCTCCCACATTGTAAGCGGATCATGTTTCATGATAACCCTAGTCCTAGGTGGATGAATCCTACTTATCCCACAAAAACTGGGCTTAGATTATAATAATCCTCTGGTAAACGTTGACATAACTATGGAAAATCACCATTGAAATAGTGAGTTTTCCCATGAAACATGGTGTGATTTTCCATAGTTATGTCAACGTTTACCAGAGGGTAATCCACTGGCATGAGCACGGCCCCGTCGGATGGTCCCTACTAGGAAGTGGACGACTAAAAAAGGTGACCCCGGTGACGTAAAATGTTTAAGGTAAATGGTGGCACCCAGAAAAATCCATGGGTTAATCCATGTTAATCCCAAAGATGACCTAGAAATTGTGGGTCTCCTGAAATTGGTTGAAGAGACTATTTACGACAAAAGGCAATATTTTGGGCTAAATGACCATGGTCTCAACCGTAGATTTTGCCGCAAATCAATCCGGTGAAAGTCATACTGTATCTGTTAATCACCTAAATCCCAACGCTTTGTGGTTGAGTTGAATCAGTTGAATCGGTTGAATCAGGTGAATCCCCAATTAATCCCCAATTAAAACCCATGAAACGCCTTAAATCCCCGTTGAACCCCATATTTGACGACGAACCATTCGCACCTCCCCCGCAGGTCGAGTTCAGGCAGCCGCAGATCGGCTCAGGCAGCCAAGGGCTGCACACGCATGGCTATGGAAGCCATGGACCATTTATAATTGAGGTTGATATACCCATTAAGAAAAGATAGGGAGATTTTCCGTAGCTATGTTAAATGTTAGTTTACCATATGGTTGTATTATTTGTTTATATATATATATTTATATTTATATACATACATATGAACCCCAACAAAAGACACCACAGTGTTTTCAGGATGGTATATATGATGTTTTCCACATATTTTGCATGGTTTGTATATATGAACACCAAAAAAGTTGGGTTGGTGTGGGGATGTGGCAACACAACGGTGAAAGTTCCGAATATTATTCCGGTTTGCCGTTCCACTCCCATTTTTTGACTGGGTAATTGGGTCAACCTTAGCCGGATCTTGTTGGGTACTTCAATCTTTTGCTTATGGCCAAGCTTAGGTATATACCCTGCAAAATATCACAATAGCTTGTTAGTACATATACAATCATACAATCATATACTTCATATATTTATGTATGTATGTATGTATGTAATGTAATGTAATGTAATGTAATGCAATGCAATGCAATGTAATGTAATGTAATGTTATGTAATGTAATGTAATGCAATGTAATGTAATGTAATGTATGTATGTATGTATGTATATATATATATATGTATATATATATATATATGTTTCTATGATTTTTGTATACACACAGACAGACAGATAGACATACATTCATACATACATTCATACATACATTCATACATACATTCATACATATATATATATCCGATGCATCTGTATTATGTATATTGATTGTATATATATATGTGATTGTAAATACCAAGCCTAGCAAAGGTAAATTATATCGCTGTCACTTGCCAAGTCCCAAGTGTGATGATTTGGCGAATCGTAAGGTGAGAATCCCTATATCGCCGAGCCTTTTCGGTTGTTTGGACCCGTTGGAATCCAATGGGATATATGATGGAATAGTAATGGTATGTATGGTGGGATAATGGGTATATGGTGGTTTCCTAAGTCATTGGGGTACCCCTGAATCATCCAAGATTAGACCATTTATCATTGAAACTCATGGTGACTTGGGGAATCCTGTTTAAAGAACCCCGTTACTACATACAACACTTCACACAGTTCTGAGCCAAATCCCTTGACCAGGAATATCGGAAGCAACATGAGATGAAGGTGCAAACCTGGGATTACTCCGGATTCAAGTCAGGTTGATACACGTTGATACATACTTTTGGAATCCGTTCGGATAAAAACAACATGTAGGATGGGTTTTACATGATGCAATGAGTGTATCACTGCAGACTGTTATTGTCCATCTGAACGGAATCTCACGCGTCTCACCCAGATTCCTTGAGACGTTGGTTGGGTTGACAACCCCAGCTAATATTCATGTGTTTCAGATTGGTGAAACGACTCTTGCACTTCGATTTGTTCACACATGTTGTGTTTCCAGTACACCTTACGTCATTGTCCACGTCCTGTCCAATGGTGGTTCTGCTAGTGTAAGAGCACCAGGTACAAGTTGAGTAGTTGAGTTTTTCTTACTGAAGCCAGTTAGAAGTATACAAGATATACAAGCATTGAACAAAAACACAAATCTTTGATTCACCAGTGATATATCTGTGATTTATCAGAAGCTCCAATGTTTATTTTCGCGCATCCCCAGCGGTCCAGGTGATCAGTAGCTTTAGTGGAACGGTGCCTCAACCGATCCAGGACTTCCAGGTGGGCTGGAAACGGTGTAGATCATTGGTCAAAAATTGTGATCTCTTGTGTATAATATATAAATCTGGTTGGTGGTTTGGAACATGGCTTTTATTGTTCCATATATTGGGAATTTCATCATCCCAACTGACTTTCATATTTTTCAGAGGGGTTGAAACCACCAACCAGTATATATGTATATATATATATATTGTGATAGAGACTATATATAGACGATTTATAGATGTAATATAATATATAATATTGATGTTTGTTTTAACACCGACGTATCATTCATATAGATGTGCTGGAGATGCGATTCGAAAGATTCGAGCCAGGCGGCTGGGCTTCCGGAGAAGGTCCTGAAGGAAATTCAGGATGCCAAGTTCAGCGAACCCACACCCATTCAGGTGGAATTCTGCTGCCGCTGTGGAGAAGTGTGTGGGGCGCAAGGATGCGCAAGGTGTGTTGGGAATTCGTTGGGGTGAGATATTTTCCATGTGTTTTTTGTGAAATAAGCCAGCTATAACAACTACGTATGGTTGATTATTGTTGTATGTCCACTTAGGTCACTGGAACTGCAACCCCCGAGTAGATATCACTGGATGGATGGATGATTGATGATGTTGTTGTTGTTTATGAATATTATTTTTCTAGTATCATTTATAATGGTTATCATTGATATGAGATGAGGAGGGGGAGGATGGATGATGCAGTTTGGGATGTTTGGGCGAATCAAGATCACAACATCTCTTTTTTGTGACATCAACTCAAACAAAAAGCCAACAAACATATGGCACGCGTATGGAGTATGGAGATGATGCTCTTTACAAATGATTCAGCTTTGGGCGTTGATCGTGGGGCCCATCGTCTCCATCAGCTTCCGAGAAAACCTCGAAGATCTGCCGAGACGGTTGTATCGGCTGTGGTTGTTGATCCTTACTGTTTGAATGGATTCTTAAGATTTCTTGGAACTATTTTTCGTACTTTCTTTCCCTGTATCTTGTGATGTTTTGGATGGTTGCATAAGAAAAGATGGTAAGCTTGCCCGATGTGTGGTCTAAAACTTGGTTTGTCTGGAAACGGGATACCGCTAAATCCATAGACTGATTATGATTAATCGTTATTTTCCTTTTTGAAGTGTCAGATATCGGCGGTAATCAGGCACGCCCAAACATCACAACAAGCTGCACATATATATATATATACACATTATATATATATATACATACATATATATATACATCTATTATATATATGCCTACTAATATCAATATCCCCATTATATTAATTGCCACTCTTATTGAACATGCTCAAATCCTCAATCGGTCTGATTTTTTGTTGCCAGGCGCAGTGCTGGCCCATTCTGAGCAACGGACATGACCTGATTGGCATTGCTAAGAGTGGCAGCGGCAAGACCCTAGCGTTGCTCGGGTCGCTGTTGAAATGAGCTGATTGAGCTGGGAGATGGATGGGAAAATATGGATGAATCAACTGGCAAAAAGGATGGGTTATTTAACATAGCCATGGTATAGATGGCCCATTTATAGATGGTTTACCGAACTTAAAAATGGTGATTTTCCATGGCTATGTTAAATAACCAGATTGTATGTTTGGATATAACTGGCAAAAAGAACTGGGATATCATTTTGATGTGCCTGATATGTAACTTCTGTAATGAAACCATGGCTCTACATCAGGAAATCTTTGGAATATTGATGGAATTCTGTGGCATATTCTAGGGACTTATGGGGATGTATAGGGATATATAAATACATTCGTGTATATATATATATTATATACATACAAATGGGACATGCTTAAGACATGCTTGGGATACTTGGGAGTATCCTGGAATATCTGCGGGTATGGCTCAAATTGATTCACCCCTGTTTTCAAGGCTCGGACCGTTGCTCCTTCGTTCGCGGCGTGCCGCGTTGCGACGCGATCGCCGCGATGGACTGTCTTCCCAAACGGCCTCCGGGCCCCGTAACGAAACAAATTCCACGCTTGGATGAAGCAATCGCGTCATTGCAAGAACTTCAAGAAGAAGGGGAAGTGGAAGCTGCCACTTGACCACTTTGGACTTTTTTGGGATTTGCTGACCACCAGCAGTTAAAGCTGGGCGAAGGGGAAAAGGACATATATATATATTATATAGTTAATACATATATATATGTATTATAATACATATATATGTATGTATTATAATACATATATATATATAATATGATATATAATATATAATACATAATATATAATTTAAAATATATAATATATAATATATAATACATAATATATAATTTAAAATATATAATATATAATATATGATATATGATATATGATATATGATAAATAATATTTAATATAGAATATATAATATACAATATACAATGTATAATATATGCACACTGAAAATGTAGAAAAGGCTTGTTCAACATACTAGACAGCAATAAAACGCAAGGAAGAGGATATAACTGACCAGCAACTAAGTTCAGGGTAGTTCAATATAGCGAGCAAAATTAAATACTAACAAATACTAAGAAGTATAGCTATACAGCTGATTTGATGGACATGTATCCAAGATTGGCCACTCGACCAGTTTTTGGAAGCCATGTGTGATTTGACCAGCATTCAATGCCAGCCGGTCATAGTCTATGATCTTGATGTTTTTCCTATAATCGATATCTCTTCTAGAATCTATGGATTTGTTACTATAGATTGTTGTGGTTTAGCTGTTGGCTACAACAAATCTAAATGCGTATTATAATATGTTATTCACATATTATGTAGTTATTTGTTCATGTATAATTAATTATATATATATAGTTCTATCTATCACTATACAAAGTATTTAAAAGCAGGCTTCTGGTGTTCAAATGTGTCCCCAATCTGTTGACCACTTCCTCGTCCAGGCTATGGGTCTTTTGCTGCGTCTCATCACCATCGACGAGTCCGTGTTTTGCACAGTCTTTCCGCAACCTGTCCGCGGTGTCACGGGTCCGTGTTGCTGCGTTGCTATGGAAACCACTGCAAGGTGAGGCTTTCAAAACATAAGTTGACACACAGTTCACTTGGTTGATCAACTATACTGGGGTTTAAAAAAAACAACTGATGATGTTTGTTGGTTTGTCCCATTGACTATAGTCAATTGTTGGTTTAACTAAATTGTTTGTTGGTTACTGCTATACTTGGTGGCTCATCCCACGGCTCGTAAGTGGGTTATAACCCCAGTTATAAATGGGATTTTTGTAGGGTTAATCCACTGAATTCACTGGGGTGAACTAACCCACTTACGAGCCGTGGGATGAACCACCAAGTAGTATTCATGGGATTTAAAAAATCAACAAACATCACTGGGGGACCTGGAGGACCTTGTGGTTCGTCAAGCTTTCGTCAAAATCTCATCGAAAGAAGCACCAATTGATTAGCATTTCCAATGTGACAGATCCAATTTTGGCATATATTTAAGGGCTGCCGCCCCTGCCGCCGACCCCGGAGAAAAAAAAGAGGTTTGCGCTGTGTTTTCACACAGCTCAAGTTGGTGGCTTTTCCATAGCCTTGATACGAGAGGAGAGATAGAGAGAGAGAGAGAGAGATATATATATAGTTAAATTTCACCAGAGCGAGGCAATATATTTTGGATGTTTTTTAATGTTTGTTTATGTTGCATTCTGACATAGTGTTGCTGGACAGTCAGGCTTGTGCTTGAGGATTTTTCATTTGGGATCTCAAATGACTGAAATTTTCAGGGGCTGACAACACCAGGTCACAAAAAGCCATGGAACGGCTAGGGTCGACATTGTCATTTTTAATGTGCAGGTAAACATCGGCATTCGACATCGAGGATGTTAGATAGATAGATAGATAGATAGATAGATGGTCTGCAGGCTTGCTAGATTCGATAGATGGATAGATAGAGATAGATCGATCGATCGATAGATAGATGGAGATAGATAGATAGATAGATCGATCGATAGATAGATAGGTCGATAGATAGATAGATAGATTGATAGATAGATAGATAGATAGATAGTTAGATAGATAGATAGATAGCTAGATAGTTTGATAGATAGGCAGGTAGTGGCAGGTAATGGTAGGTAGGTAGATGGATAGATAGAATCATAGATCTGTGTATATTTAATAGATATATATATTCATATATATATATATATTCATATATATATATATATTCATATATATATATATATTCATATATATATTCATATATATATATATTCATATATATATATTCATATATATATATATTCATATATTATATATATATATATATTCATATTATATATATATTCATATATATATATATTCATATTATATATATATATTCATATTATATATATATTCATATATATATATATGTGTGTGTTTCATTGTCAGTGTTTCATTGTCAGTGTGCATCTGTCTATGTCTCTGTCTTTTTGTTCCAGGCTGACTCACATTGTACCATATCCTCCATATCGATCCATATCTATCCACATTCCCAAATGGTGAGGGCGGGCTGCATCCTTCTTGGTTCCAGCCTGGCAGCATATATCGCTGTATATGTATTAGGTTACGATATATGACTACAATCCAATAGTTTTCGACCATTTTTTGTACCGCTGTTTGTACAATTAGACATAGTCAGACATAGAACCCTCCTGCTGCTCCTGTTGCTGCTGCTGCTCTTCCTCCCGAAGCTGAAAACGCACGCTGCCGGACAGGGAAACACAGTGGCCCTGAAGGACGGAACAGCGCCAAAATCGAGCCCAAAAACTGCCTAACGTCCCTTCTGAAACCCTAGAAAAACAATAGTTTTCGACCAGTTTTTGTACCGCTGTTTGCACAATGAGACATAGTGAGACATAGAACCCTCCTGCTGCTCCTGTTGCTGCTGCTGCTCTTCCTCCCGAAGCTGAGAACGGACGCTGCCGGACAGGGAAACACAGTGGCCCTGAAGGACGGAACAGCGCCAAAATCGAGCCCAAAAACTGCCTAACGTCCCTTCTGAAACCCTAGAAAAACAATAGTTTTCGACCAGTTTTTGTACCGCTGTTTGCACAATGAGACATAGTGAGACATAGAACCCTCCTGCTGCTCCTGTTGCTGCTGCTGCTCTTCCTCCCGAAGCTGAAAAAGCACGCTGCCGGACAGGGAAACACAGTGGCCCTGAAGGACGGAACAGCGCCAAAATCGAGCCCAAAAACTGCCTAACGTCCCTTCTGAAACCCTAGAAAAACAATAGTTTTCGACCATTTTTTGTACCGCTGTTTGTACAATGAGACATAGTGAGACATAGAACCCTCCTGCTGCTCCTGTTGCTGCTGCTGCTCTTCCTCCCGAAGCTGAAAACGCACGCTGCCGGACAGGGAAACACAGTGGCCCTGAAGGACGGAACGGCGCCAAAATCGAGCCCAAAAACTGCCTAACGTCCCTTCTGAAACCCTAGAAAAACAATAGTTTTCGACCATTTTTTGTACCGCTGTTTGTACAATGAGACATAGTGAGACATAGAACCCTCCTGCTGCTCCTGTTGCTGCTGCTGCTCTTCCTCCCGAAGCTGAAAACGCACGCTGCCGGACAGGGAAACACAGTGGCCCTGAAGGACGGAACAGCGCCAAAATCGAGCCCAAAAACTGCCTAACGTCCCTTCTGAAACCCTAGAAAAACAATAGTTTTCGACCATTTTTTGTACCGCTGTTTGTACAATGAGACATAGTGAGACATAGAACCCTCCTGCTGCTCCTGTTGCTGCTGCTGCTCTTCCTCCCGAAGCTGAAAACGCACGCTGCCGGACAGGGAAACACAGTGGCCCTGAAGGACGGAACAGCGCCAAAATCGAGCCCAAAAACTGCCTAACGTCCCTTCTGAAACCCTAGAAAAACAATAGTTTTCGACCATTTTTTGTACCGCTGTTTGTACAATGAGACATAGTGAGACATAGAACCCTCCTGCTGCTCCTGTTGCTGCTGCTGCTCTTCCTCCCGAAGCTGAGAACGGACGCTGCCGGACAGGGAAACACAGTGGCCCTGAAGGACGGAACAGCGCCAAAATCGAGCCCAAAAACTGCCTAACGTCCCTTCTGAAACCCTAGAAAAACAATAGTTTTCGACCATTTTTTGTACCGCTGTTTGTACAATGAGACATAGTGAGACATAGAACTCTCCTGCTGCTCCTGTTGCTGCTGCTGCTCTTCCTCCCGAAGCTGAAAACGCACGCTGCCGGACAGGGAAACACAGTGGCCCTGAAGGACGGAACAGCGCCAAAATCGAGCCCAAAAACTGCCTAACGTCCCTTCTGAAACCCTAGAAAAACAATAGTTTTCGACCATTTTTTGTACCGCTGTTTGTACAATGAGACATAGTGAGACATAGAACCCTCCTGCTGCTCCTTGTTGCTGCTGCTGCTCTTCCTCCCGAAGCTGAAAACGCACGCTGCCGGACAGGGAAACACAGTGGCCCTGAAGGACGGAACGGCGCCAAAATCGAGCCCAAAAACTGCCTAACGTCCCTTCTGAAACCCTAGAAAAACAATAGTTTTAGTTTTCGACCAGTTTTGTACCGGTGTTTGTACAATGAGACATAGTGAGACATAGAACCCTCCTGCTGCTCCTGTTGCTGCTGCTGCTCTTCCTCCGAAGCTGAAAACGCACGCTGCCGGACAGGGAAACACAGTGGCCCTGAAGGACGGAACGGCGCCAAAATCGAGCCCCAAAACTGCCTAACGTCCCTTCTGAAACCCTAGAAAAACAATAGTTTTCGACCAGTTTTTGTACCGCTGTTTGTACAATGAGACATAGTGAGACATAGAACCCTCCTGCTGCTCCTGTTGCTGCTGCTGCTCTTCCTCCCGAAGCTGAAAACGCACCCTGCTGAAAAACAATAGTTTCGACCAGTTTTTGTACCGCTGTTTGTACAATGAGACATAGTGAGAC